TTCACATGTTATATGTTGACATACTATTTGGTAAAACCTCAGAAATATTTCCTGAAGCCTCAGAAAACAGCAAAACATAATGTGTGGAGTGGCCCAACTTATAAAAGAAGCTAAGATGAATTGATGAAGAGTACATAGGCCAGAAGAATGAAAATGGTTGGCTCAGATGATGTGGGCTATAGTCCATGGAAGCTCCGCTGGAGTGAAATGCTGTAGGTCATTTGAAGTGCCAAAAGGCTCCTGTTCATTGTAGGCAAACAAAAGAAAATAAATGCAGCTGTCAATGAGAGAGACATGGATGCAGGGCTCTCAAAGTAGGAGTATGAAAACAATTAAAATGGACTGGGAGTCAGTGTGGAAAGCAGGGGGGGGGCACCAAATTCGGTCAGTGCTAAGGGCACCAGTGAGCCTTAATCTGCCCCCCAATGGAAGAGATTACGTATAATCAAAGGAGATGCTGGGGCAATATCCCATTTCCAGTAGCAAGCCAGATTTCTACTTGGGAATGGAGGAGGAGTAAATGCTACTGCAAGAGCGGTCTCAGTAGGGGAATGAAGGGGGGGGCATTACAGGCTGCTGCCTCCTACACCTGGAACTAGCTCTGCAAATAATATATTCTGAAATCGTATATGATAACTTAGAGTGTCCGATATCAGACTTGGTACAACAGCAACATATTGCGGACTCATCATTATCACAAAAGAACTGGAAAAATAAAGGGCTGTTTCAGAAGAAGTAGTGTTGGTTTTTATACCCCGCTTTTTACTATCCAAAGGAGTCTAAGGATGACTTACAATCTCCTTTCCCTTCCCCTGCCCACAATAGACACTCTGTGAGCAGTGTTCCCTCTAAGATCCCTCCAGCTCACACATTTTTCTCTTAGCTCAGGAAGGAGGGCTCCAGAGCAAACTAATTTATGTAGTAGCCAAATCGCTAGCTCACAACTTTAATGCCAGCAGCTCACAAAGTAGAATTATTGCTCACAAGACTCCACAGTTTAGAGGGAACATTGTCTGTGAGGAAGGCGGGGCTGAGAGAGCTTTGAGAGAACTGTGACTGACCCAAGGCCACCCAACAAGCTTCATGTGGAGGAGTAGGGAATCAAACCCAGTTCTCCAGATTAGAGTCTGCCACTCTTAACCACTACACCATGTTGGCTCTCAGGCATTACAAGACTACAAGCTCACCCAAGTTTAAACTAGATCACGATATCAAGCAAAATCTGGTGAGGACACAGGAATCTGCAGATGTGTGGGTCACTTTCACATGTTATATGTTGACATACTATTTGGTAAAACCTCAGAAATATTTCCTGAAGCCTCAGAAAACAGCAAAACATAATGTGTGGAGTGGCCCAACTTATAAAAGAAGCTAAGATGAATTGATGAAGAGTACATAGGCCAGAAGAATGAAAATGGTTGGCTCAGATGATGTGGGCTATAGTCCATGGAAGCTCCGCTGGAGTGAAATGCTGTAGGTCATTTGAAGTGCCAAAAGGCTCCTGTTCATTGTAGGCAAACAAAAGAAAATAAATGCAGCTGTCAATGAGAGAGACATGGATGCAGGGCTCTCAAAGTAGGAGTATGAAAACAAATGGAAAGAAATGGGTTTGGAACCATTTCATTTGAAACCGTTTCTCCATTTCAAAATTCCGTCACAAGGGGTCACTGTTGCCTAAGAGAATATTTAAGGACGACTGAAAACACAAGAGCTCCTCCCTGGGAGCAACTGAAAAGCCAGCCTGCCAAGCCAGCCTGTCTAATCTGCAATAGGAATAGAGCACACAAGGGATGCAACACAATAGGAAATAATTCCACTGATTTTGGAAAGACCGACGTGGATGGGAAGGAGAGTCCTAAGAACAGCCAAGACGGTTGGGGCTTTGGGTGTGAGCTTGCCATGGTTGCTTGGCAGAAGGATGATGGGGCAAAGCGGCTGCTGCAGCTGATTCTCCTCCACACAGCTTGGGAGGTGGGGAGCGGCCAGCTCCATTATTCCGTGCCTGAGGAATCCCAGCACGGCACCTTTGTGGGCCGCATCGCCCAAGACCTGGGGCTGGAGGTGAGTGAGCTGGTGCCTCGGATGTTCCGGATGGTCTCCAAGGGACAGGAAGAGCATTTTCAGGTAAATGTGCAGAATGGGGTTCTGTTTGTTAATTCCAGGATAGACAGGGAAGAGCTGTGTGCCAAGAATATGGATTGTGCCATTCACCTGGAGGTGATTGTGGATAAACCCCTGAGGGTCTTCCATGTGGAGGTGGAGATCAAGGACATAAATGACAATGCTCCTGTGTTTTCAGTACATGAACAGATTCTAGCCATTTCAGAATATAGGCTGATAGGTTCTCGTTTCCTACTATCCAGTGCCTCTGATGCAGATATAGGTGTCAATGCCCTAATAACCTATAAACTCAGCCCAAATGATTACTTCATTCTGGATTCAGGAAGTGAAGAGGACCAGAGTAAATCGCCAGTACTTGTATTAAAAGCTCCACTAGACAGGGAAAAAGACCCTCTGCATCGTTTATTGCTCACAGCCACTGACGGAGGCAAGCCACAGCTCTCGGGCACAGTCCAGCTGGTGATCAGTGTGCTGGATGCAAACGACAACCCCCCTGTCTTTAACCAGTCGGTTTACAGGGTAAAGCTGCTGGAAAATGCAGCCAATGGGACGTTGGTTATTAAACTGAATGCATATGATGTAGATGAAGGAATCAATAAAGAGATCTCCTATTTCTTTAGTAATAATGTACCATCAAGTTTCACTAAGGTGTTTAGCATCAATTCCAACACTGGAGAACTTAGAGTGTTTGGCGAGGTGGATTTTGAGGATGTTAATTTGTATGATCTTCAAATTGTGGTTGAAGACAAAGGAATCCCTCCTTTGTCTGGACATTGCAAAGTTCACATTGAAGTACTGGATATGAATGATAATGCCCCAGAAATGACAGTATCCTCCCTTTCAGTGCCTGTGCCTGAGAACTCTCCCCCGGGGACAGTGGTGGCCCTCATCAGTATCTCAGACAGGGACTCTGGGGCCAATGGGCAAGTGATCTGTTCAGTATGGCCCTCTGGACTCCCCTTCAAGCTGACATCCACCTTCAAGAATTACTACTCACTCGTACTGGCTGAACCACTGGACAGGGAGCAAGTGGCTGAGTATAGTTTGGTGGTGGTAGCCCAAGACCAAGGGGACACCCCACTGTCAGCCAGCAGCAGTCTGGTAGTGCCAATCAGTGATGTGAACGACAACGCACCCACTTTTGCACAGCCCTCCTATACTGTTTTTGTGAAGGAGAACAATCCTCCAGGTGCCCACATCTTCACAGTGTCTGCCTTGGACCCAGATGTGGCGGAGAACGCCTTGGTCAGCTACTGGCTGGATGAGAAGCAATGGCCGCTGTCGAGCTACATCTCAGTGCATTCGGAGAGTGGGAAGCTGTATGCCCTGCAGCCCTTGGATTACGAGAAGGTGAAGCTGCTGGAGTTCCAGGTGAGGGCCAAGGATGCTGGGCTGCCCTCCCTGTGTGGCAACGTGACCGTCCAGGTCTTTGTGTTGGATGAGAATGACAATGCACCTGCAGTGTCTGGTCCAGCAGCGGATACCCCCAGTCTGCTGAAGGTTCCAGTGGCAGCTGGGTATGTGGTGGGCAAGATCCATGCCCTGGATTCTGATTCCGGCTACAATGCCTGGCTTCGCTACGAGTTGTATGATGCAACCAGCAGCCCCTGGCGGGTGGGGCTTTACAGTGGTGAGATCAGTACCGCGCGTGCTTTGGAGGAGGCAGAGGGCAGCAACATCCAGAGTCTGCTGGTTCTGGTGAAGGATCATGGCAAGATGGTACTGTCAACTACAGCCACCTTCAGTGTGTCACTGGTGGCCAGCGCCCAGGCTGCCCAGACTGATGCCCGCCTCTCTAGGATGGGAGGGAGTGCAAAGCCCCTGGCAGACACTGCTAATCTCTACCTGATCATTGCCATCTGCTCAGTGTCCAGCTTGTTCCTGCTGGTGATCCTCGTGTATGTGGCACTGCGATGCCAGAGCCAGGCCAAGGAGGCAATGATGTATGGTCCTGGCACAGCCACGCTGGTGTGTGCCAGTGAAGTGGGCAGCTGGTCGTATTCCAATCGCCACAGCCACATCCTGGCAGGGGTGAGTGGGGAAGCTGGTGCCAAAAGTGACCTCATGGTTTTCAGCCCCAACATTCCTGTTTTCGGCGAGAGTGGGAAGGAGCTGGTCCCGAATGCTGCTGGGCAGGTGAGTTTCATGGAACCATTATGATTCTTAAAACCTAGAATTTAATTATTTGTGCTGCTATTTTGTTGTTCATTACTGATTTTATGTCATAGATGTGTTTTACTTGTTCATGATTGTAGCCTATCTCATAAGCTGGTGAGAGAATATGGTCTAAATGAAAAACGAAATGAAGTAAAATAAGCAACAAGAGCACAGCCTTGGGAGTTGAGGGCTCATTCTGTTTTATTTCCTTGTTTGCACCCCATCATGTGATCATTTGATTTTCAAGGCAGTTTACCGCTACCAATTGCAAAGAATTCCGATTAATAAGAATCGGGTGTCGTAAATTAACACGAGTATGATGCCTTTGTGCCTGAGTGTGGTTCCTGAGTCAACCCTCGATTGTCATCTTAAGGTCTATAGGATCCTGATCATTAATATTTAATCAATGGTTAATCAGTTTTTTAATCAATGATCAGTGATTTAATCAGTTTCTTGCTTTAATGAAATTCTTGGATATTTTGTAAATCCGAATAAATATATCACAATATAGGTAATAATATCACAGTAATTCATATTTCCTATTGAAAAAAAATATTTAACAGAGACAAAGGTAACAGAAAGAATTTATTTAGTGTATGGAAGATAATTTAAGGGCTTTGCTTAGCAAGACACCACATAGATATTTTTGACTGTTATCAACAATGAATTCTAAACTCTGGCAGTAGATGTTTTATATATATTTTAATAATACTGCTTTTGTAATTTTTAATATGTCCTAACCTGGATGGGTCAGGCCAGCCCAGTCTTGGCAGCTAAGCAGGGTCAGGCCTGGTTGGTACTTGGATAAAAGGTCAAGGTCTCCCTTGCTCGAAAGCCAGTCGAGTCCGACTCTAGGGTTGCGGTGCTCATCTCCGTTTCCAAGCCGAAGAGCCAGCACTGTCCGAAGACGTTTCCGTGGTCATGTGGCCGGCATGACTAAACACCGAGGCGCACGGAACGCTGTTACCTTCCCACCAAAGTGGTCCCTATTTATCTCCTTGCAATTTCTTGCTTTCGAACTGCTAGGTTGGCAGGAGCTTGGATAGGAGACCACTAAGGTAGTCCAGGGTTAATACATAGGGGCAGGCAATGGCAAACCACCTCTGAACATCTCTTACCTTGAAAACCCTACAAGGTTGCCATAAGTCGGCTGCAACTTGATGGCCCTTTCCACCACCAGGTGTTTGGGTTTTTTTACGAGATGATTCATCCCAACATGGACCTACACCCACATGCAGAGGCTGCTTTGCATCCTGTTGGGCATATCATGGACGTGTTTTAATGTAATAGCAAGAAACTATTTATTTACTTTTGAGGTGCATTATGTTTAACATCAAACGTCTTTGTTGGTTCTGAAAAATAATACATACAATCTTAGGACTGTCATGGCTATTTAAATTATTGTGCTGCTGAGTTCTTCGGTTTAATCATTGCTTAGTTAATTTGTTGTTGTTCAGTCGCACAGTCAAGTTTGACTCTTTGCAACCCCATGGACCACATCACGCCAGGCCCTCCTGTCTTCCGTTGTGTTTTGGAGTTTGCTTAATTTCTTGTTCGTTGCATCTATGACACTGTCTAACCATCTCACCCTTTGCCGTCCCCGTCTTTTTTGACCTTCAATCTTTCCCAGCATCAGGGTCTTCTCCTGTGAATGCTGCCTTTTCATTTGGTGGCCAAAGTATTTGAGCTTCATCTTCAGTATCTGACCTTCCAGGGAACAGTTAGGGTTGATTTCTTTTAGGATTGACTGATTGGATCTTCTTGCAGTCCAAGGGACTCTCAAGAGTCTTCTCCAGCACCATAATTCAAAAGAATCTATTCTTCGGCGCTCGGCCTTCCTTATAGTCCAACTCTCGCAGCCATACATTATTCCTGGGAATACCATGGCTTTGACCATACGGACATTTGTTGGCAGGGTGATGTCTCTACTTTTTTTTTTTTTTTTAAGTTTAGTTAGTTAATACCATTGTTGAAATGTTTGTATTGAAGTTATTGAAATGAATCTGTTACAGAGTATATTATACTGAATGATTAGATTAGTATATAGTGTGCAAATGTGCAGCACCAGGGTGGCGTGGTCCTCTCACATGAACTCTTTTGAGTAGTTGTTTTGTAAGCTCTTTTTCCACCTGTTCCTGTAGTCACAGAATCTCTTTGACTGACGGAGCTGGCCTATGCAGTGTGCTGTATCTTCCTAGTGCCATGCCCAGATCTGGTGGCCTTTCAAGTCAAAGAGAATGTTGAAATCTATGGGGGGAGGGAGCTATGGGCATGATCCATCCTAGCATGGGAACCGTGCCCATGTACAGATGGACCATAAAACTCAAGATAACCTTGTTCTCCCCCTCTCCTTATCACTTTGGCTGGCCCTTTATGAGAATGGGGATGTCTGCACATGCTTCCAATATTTCCACTCAGCCCTCACTCTTGGCCTGATGCAATTCACTCAAGTTCTAAAGTCTGAGGGCTGGATGCTGATGCAGAAGAATATACAGGCCTCTTGTATCCCATAACACTCTGGCATGTGAAGGAGAGATGGGCTGGGCTCTCCATGTGGGTGCTGTGCCGTGCCAAGATGGATTTGTACCTTAAAAGGGATCATATTTTTGGATTCTTCAAAGTGCTTCAATACCCCTGTGATCTTTGCAACCTCCTTGGAAGGCCAGCATTATTATCCCCATAGTGCAAACAGGGTGTGTGTATGTGAGAAACTGGGCTTGCCTGGGGTCATCTAATGATAGCTGTAGTGAGATGAATATGCCCATTTCATAGACTTCCCTTGGACTCTGTGTTAGCAACTGAAATGGGGCTGAGGAACTCCACAGACATAGAAAATTTTGCAGAGTTGGGAGGATTTCTAAGAAAAAAAGATAGTTGGGCAGAAATTCCAAAATGGTAGCCCAAATTTAGAAGTGTGGTTTTCAAAAAGGTCCCCCCCTTAAAGGTGGCCAAACTGTGTGTGAGCTCCAAAGAGACAAAGAAAGGCTTAAGGGAATTCCAGCAAGTAAATGTACAAGCAACTACATTCTTCGAGCCAAGCTAGACCTCCCCCCCACCCGTTCTCTCACCATGGGGACTTGCAGCTGCTAGTACCCATGAAAACTTATGTGAAATTCTTATTGGGACAGTGGTGTGGGGGGAGGAGGGGATCCTACCCCCCCATGACATTTTTGGCAGTCAAAATAATCAGGGAGCTACAGGGATGGGCATTATTCAGCCCATCAAGAGGCTGCAAGTAGTGAAGCAATCTGCCCCTCATCGCCTGAGTTAGGCAGCAATCCTCAGACTGGCAGCTCAGTGTGGTATGCTCAGGTCTCAATGTTAATATTTTTTGAAGTTTCAGTATCAACATCTATATAAATTTCTGCTTTGTGTTAAACCCCCCCCCCAGAGAGTATGCTGTTGAGAAATGATTTACTTCTATGTCATAAATGTATTGTGTAAAATTATTTATCTTTTATAAAAACGATATACTGCTTTTCCTGCACTCAAAGATATTTAAAGGTGCATTAAAACAGCCAATGATAAAAATATCTGCCAATAGTATCCAAAGTACTTGCCCCAATACAAGCCATATCAATAAAAGACAAAAATAAAACAAACAAAAAACAGCCATAAATGTATCTTTCAGAATAAACGGTAGAATCTAATGTTTGGTTAATTTGTTGGTTCATTTTTAATTTTTCGTTTTAAATCAGCGGTAAGCCACTTCAAGAAATCTTTGGGAAAGGTGGTGAAGAAATACGTTAAATAAATGAATTAAATGTCTCAGTAGTTCTCCACAAGGTCAGCCAAATAGCTTTGGTTGGATTTATTATGTTATTTATTATTTATTATAAATTTATTATTTAGCTATTGGCCATGACAAATAAGATAAAATGAATCAGAACAAGGCAGGTGTATTAATGTATTTAAATAATTTCTCTCCTGTTATTTCCATCAGAGGCACTCAGGATGTGGTGCAAATAATTAAAAAGATATATAAAGAAACTTTAAATAGCAGCGTCAAATATTCACATATTAAAATCATTTTTTAAAACCTGTTCTCCTCTTCCTCTTAACTGAGGTCTAGTGGCCTGGAATTTGGACCAGCTAGGAGCATTTCACATCCCCAGTGGAAGAAGAAGAAGAAGAGAAAAGATTGGATTGGATTTATACCCCGCCCTTCACTTGGAGTGTCAGAGCGGCTGACAAACTCCTTTCCCTCCCCCTCCCCACAACAGACACCCTGTGAGGTGGGTGGGGCTGAGAGAACTCTGACACAAACGGCTCTTTTTCAAGGATAGCTGTGCCAGAGCTTGTGACTGACCCAAGGTCACATCAGCAGGTGCAAGTGGAGGATTGGGGAATCAAACCCGGTTCTCCCAGATTAGAGTCCGCGCACTTAACCACTACATCAAACTGGCTGGAAGAACAGAGGTGCCCGCAGGCACTGTTCTGCTGCTCAGGGCAGCAATAGTGGGATAGACTGCCCAAAGAGTTTGGGTATTTTCTTCTTGTTGAGCATACAGCTTTGAGCAAAAGGGCTTGACTTTATTTGGGGGCTGGACTAAAGTAAGGAAAAAGTAGGCTCAGACTGACTTGGAAAAGGACTTAATTGAACAGTGCAAAGGGAGAGAGCCGGAGTGTGGGAATCGAAGAGTGGAGGAATTACAAGATACCCACTCCAATATGCCAACTGGTCAAGACAGGCAGAAAAACAAGAATTGGAATGAAGTCAAGAGCAAGGTTGCCAATCTCCAGGTGGAGCTTGAGGATCTTCTGTCATTACAACTGCTCTCCAGACAACATGTATCCGTTCCCCCGGTGAAAGTGACTACTTTGGAGGTTGGACTGTAGGTCCATCACATCCTGAGGTACATCCCCTCTCTATACCCCCAACCTCCCCAGGCTCCACCCCCCCTAATCCGCAGGAGTTCCCCAACCTACAGCTGGGAACCCTCAGAAGAAGAGTCTTCAGAAGCAACAAGAAGCGCAGCCAAAGGAAAGAACAGTTGAGAAAATAGTGGGGGAGAGAGAAAGAGGAATTACTAACATGCCTTATCCAAATTCTACCTGAAAAAGGAAGTGTGGTGAAATGACATCTCACTGCACAGGGAGCTTTAGGGGGAAAGTGTTCCTTTTGGACTCTTCTATTTTATTTTATGTATTTATTTATTCCCAAAGATGTTTATATTCTCCTTTTTATTACCACGGCAACCTTGTGAGGTAAGTTAGGCTGAGAGTGTGTGACCGGCCCAAGGCCACCCAGCAAGCTTTCATGGCAGAGGCAAGGTTTGAACCTGAGTGTCCCAGATCTAAACCAATGTTCTAATCATTACATTACGTGGGCTCTCCAGAGTACTCAGAGTAATGTGCAAATGTTAACCCAAAGCATCCTTCCCAGGTAGGCAAAAGTTTTTCTACCTAGTTTTCAGGTGTGTGGATGTGTGTGAGAGAAAATTTGTATGTTAAAAAGCTGAGTAGTCTGCAGAATGAAAGAGGTTCCCCCCCCCCTCAGGATAGCCAAATCAACAATGGACTCCTAGAAATCTCCTAGGACAAGATCTGTTGAGCCTGTGGTCACTTAGGATTTTTTAAAAAGGTAGTGGATGCCACCATAAAATAGTTGCCATGGGGATGGGGTTATCACAAAATGGCTGTCATGGGGGTGGAGCCAATCAAAACAGTGGGAGTTCCCAGATAACATTGGAAGGTTCTAAGCCAAAAATTGTCCTATGGTGGAGTTAGCGCCTTATGAAAGAGGTATTTTCAACATGTGAGAAAGTGTCTTTGGAGAGGTTCAGGGTGGGGTGAGGTCTTTTTTGTGTCTCCTGTCTCTGGTAGAGGCCAGAGGATAGCCTAATTATCTTGATGTGCTTATATGTTGTATTTGTTTTAAAAAACTTACATATACTTATTTGTATTTTAAAAGCTGTTTTAATGTTGTGATTGTTTGCTGCCTTGTGGACCTTAAGGTGGGCCTGCACACCTTTTTAATAAATAAAATAAATAAGCAATGGGAGGGAAATGGATTAAAGAATGTGAAGTCAAGAGAACAAGCACAAAAAAAGAATGAAACTGAAATCTGTGAAAGTTAATATTATTCTGCCTACCTCTTCACTCATGGTCCTAGAAGAGAGTAAGTTTCAAACTTTGTGAAAGGATTGCATTTATCATTTACTTTAGTTTTCCATTTCTTGGTAACTGTTGGACAATTCTTGCTCATCTTTATAGTTGTCTGCTTTGTAAAAAAAAGCAGATTTGATAGGGACAAGTTTTTAAAATCTACATTTAAATAATTTAATAAGGTTAGTGGGATCAAAATTTAGTCTGAATGAGCCTTTTAAACAGCACTTATTGTTTTAAAAGCATGGATAATAGTAGAATAATAACGATATGCAAGGTGAGTATTTTGACTGGATGTAAAAAACCTGTAAAAGTAGATGTATTTGCACAAAATTATAAACATAAATTAAAACCAGAATTCAGTAGGCTGTGTCTCCATTTTGAAATTCAGTCACAAGGGGTCACTGTTGCCTAAGAAAATATTTAAGGTAGCCTGAAAACACAGAGCTCCTCCTTCAGAGAGAGACTGAAAATCTCGCCTGTCATATCCACAATAGGAATCGCAGACACAAGATGCAAGCCCATTGGAATCGACTCAACTGACCTCACGCACACCAAAGCAGATGAGCTCTTTGGACTCTTTTCTTCATTCCTTCAGAGATTTATTAAGAAGGCAAGACATCGTGGCCATTGGATTGGGGGGCTGCCATGCTTGCTTGGCAGGCAGATTCTGTCAAAGGTTGGCTGCTGCAACTGCTTCTCCTCCTCACAGCCTGGGAAATGGGGAGTGGCCAGCTCCAATATTCTGTCCCTGAGGAATCCCAGCACGGCACTTTTGTGGGCCGCATTGCCCAGGACCTGGGGCTGGAAGTGAGTGAGCTGGTGCCTCGGATGTTCCGGATGCTCTCCAAAGGACGTGGGGACTATTTTGAGGTAAATGTACAGAATGGAATTTTGTTTGTGAATTCTCAGATAGACAGGGAGGAGCTGTGTGCTGAGAGTGTGGTGTGCATCATTCATCTGGAGGCGCTTGTGGACAAACCCTTGAGAGTTTTCCATGTACAAGTGGAGATTGTAGACATCAATGACAATGCCCCTGTTTTCCCTCTAACAGAGAAACATCTTGCTGTTGCAGAATCTAGCGTTCGTGATGCACAGTTTCCTCTAGAGGGAGCTTCTGATGCAGATATCAATGCAAACTCTTTGCTCACCTATAAACTTAGCCCAAATCTACATTTTACTCTAGAAGTTACGGAAAGTCATGAGCATAGTGCATCTTTGTTCCTTGTTCTAATGAAGCCTCTAGACCGAGAAGAAAGTGCTGCCCACCATTTATTACTCACAGCTACTGATGGAGGCCAGCCACAGCTCACCGGCACAGTACAGCTGTTAATCAAAGTTTTGGATGCAAATGATAATTCTCCTGCATTTAACCAGTCAGTATACAAAGTCCAGTTATTTGAAAACTCAAACAGTGGACTATTAGCAATTAGGCTAAATGCTATTGACTTGGATGAGGGAGCAAATAGAGAAGTTTCATATATATCAAGCAGTTTTTCTCCTCCAAATGGGAAAGAAAAATTTGTCCTTGATCAAGAGACTGGGGAGATCCATGTGAAAGGAGATATAGATTTTGAAGACAGGAATTTCTATGAAATACAAGTGGAAGCACAGGATAAGGGAAGTCCTCCACTATCTGGACACTGCAAAGTTCTGATTGAGGTTTTGGATGTGAATGACAATGCTCCTGAAGTGACTGTGTCGTCCTTGTCAGTGCCTGTGCCTGAGAACTCTCCACCGGGGACAGTGGTGGCCCTCATCAGTATCTCAGACAGGGACTCTGGGGCCAATGGGCAAGTGACCTGTTCAATGTGGCCCTCTGGGCTCCCTTTCAAGCTGACATCCACCTTCAAGAATTACTACTCACTCGTACTGGCTAAGCCACTGGACCGGGAGCAGGTGGCTGAGTATAGTTTGGTGGTGTTTGCCCAAGACCAAGGGGACCCTCCACTGTCAGCCAGCAGCAGCCTGGTGGTGCCAATCAGTGATGTGAATGACAACGCACCCACTTTTGCACAACCCTCCTATACTGTTTTCGTGAAGGAGAACAACCCACCTGGTGCTCACATCTTCACGGTGTCTGCCTCGGACCCAGATGTGGCGGAGAATGCCTTGGTCAGCTACTGGCTGGATGAGAAGCTCTGGCCGCTGTCAAGCTACATCTCGGTGCATTCGGAGAGTGGGAAGCTGTATGCCCTGCAGCCCTTGGATTACGAGGAGGTGAAGCTGCTGGAGTTCCAGGTGAGGGCCAAGGATGCGGGACTGCCCTCCTTGTGTGGCAACGTGACTGTCCAGGTCTTTGTGTTGGATGAGAATGACAACACACCTGCAGTGTTTGGTCCAGCTGAGGATACCCCCACTCTGCTGAAGGTTCCAGTGGCAGCTGGGCATGTGGTGGGCAAGATCCATGCCCTGGACGCTGACTCTGGCTACAATGCCTGGCTTCGCTACGAGTTGTATGATGCAACCAGCAGCCCCTGGCGGGTGGGGCTTTACAGTGGTGAGATCAGTACTGCACGTGCTCTGGAGGAGGCAGAGGGCAGCAACATCCAGAGTCTGCTTGTTCTAGTGAAGGATCATGGCAAGCCGGTACTGTCAACCACAGCCACCTTCAGTGTGTCACTGGTGGCCAGCGCCCAGGCTGCCCAGACTGATGCCCGCCTCTCTAGGATGGGAGGGAGCGCAAAGCCCCTGGCAGACACCGCCAATCTCTACCTGATCATCGCCATCTGCTCGGTGTCCAGCTTGTTCCTGCTGGTGATCCTCGTGTATGTGGCACTGCGATGCCAGAGCCAGGCCAAGGAGGCAATGATGTATGGTCCTGGCACAGCCACGCTGGTGTGTGCCAGTGAAGTGGGCAGCTGGTCGTATTCCAATCGCCACAGCCACATCCTGGCAGGGGTGAGTGGGGAGCCTGGTGCCAAAAATGACCTCATGGTGTTCAGCCCCAACATTCCTGTCTTGACTGAGAGTGGGAAGGAGCTGGTCCCGAATGCTGCTGGGCAGGTGAGTTACAGTCAATGATACAGTTATTCTGTTTTGGCACAAAATAAGCTGGTATTCTGCATTCAGATGTCACAACCCATCACAGTTAGTACAAACCCTGGCTCCCAAACCAGGAACAAACTCTGGTTCAGAACCTAGTCTGTGACCATCCTCCATGCAGGAGTGACCAGCTCTTGGACATCACAAGCCATATTTAATCATAATATATGAATGCAGCTTTAGTTAAGGAATATTTTAAAGATATCTCTGAAAAAGTTAGTATGACAAGTGTCGATTTGGCAGTGGGGGTACTGAAGGGTATGGCAATGGTGAATGTTCTGGTAATTAAAATCTAACATCTCATCTGCATTTAAATTATCAAAGAATGATGTTAAATAACAAGGTTGCCAATCCTGGTTTGGGAAATTCTTGGAGATTTCTGGGTAGTCCCTGAGGAGGGCAGAGTTTGGGGAGGGATCTCAGTGGGGGTAACATGGCCCATTATGCATGCACATCTTACTGCAGATTTTCAGAGCCGTAAGCCTTTAATCTTGACTTTGGATTCTGTGCCCACCTTACACACCATTCTTTTCCCTCCGGTGTATTTATTCTGCAGCTACAATTTTTAAAAATGCACTTTTCTAAATCAGGGTGGAAGATCACTTGTGACATGTGGGGGTGGTGTCCAAAGGTTTTTTTTAAAAAAAATTATGCAAGTGCCCTATCGCAGCTGCGCAGTAGCATCTAGCAAGCACCCTCCATTAAAATCCTCACTGTTCAGGTTTTGTGCATGCATTTTAGCATTAGTTCCTTGAATGAAAGGGAACAGAAAGGAACTGCAGGCAAAGGGGGGAAATCCGATGTTGAAATTGACAAGCAGCTTTTTTTTTGAAACTGACAAGCAGCTGTGAAGCTCCATTTTCCATATTGTGGTGCACAAGGGATTCTCTGTTGTGTTATCAACCACTGTGAATGATGGGA